GTATATTCCAATATAGTTTTATTCAAGTATAACCCAGACAAAAGAAATTTTAACTGGAGTTGTGCTAATTAATATATTTTGTGGGAATTGATACTTATGATAATAAATCTTCCCATCTATAAATATGTCTTTCCCTGTGTTCATATCTTTTATGCCCTTTAAGAAGTTCTTGTAGTTTCTTCCATAAGTCCTATGGTTTTCTTATTAAATTTATCCTCACCTATTTTATATTTGTGAATGCAAGATTTTTTATTCCTTTTCACTTCTAGATAACGATTGCTACTTAATATAGAAGTTTCATGTCTTTTTGTAAAATATTTTTAACAGTGATTTGATTTTCTTACATTATGCTTTTATTTATATTGTCCCATAACCTCGTGGATGGTGTTGAATAACCATCAGGCAAGAATCAGCATCTCTTGTTTAGTTTCTGTTTTTCATTGAAACAGGTTTGGGTGTTTTTTTGTTTTTTTTATTTTAGCTAAACACAGAATGGAAAGGTTTGGGTGTTTTTAACATCTATAGTATTTGCTCCTAGTGTTTGTTAAATATTTGCTCTCTTCACCTCTGGATGCTGGATACGGTTAGGAGTGCAGTTGTCTGTCTTCATCTGCTAATCGAGTGTGGGTCAGACTGCTGCAGTGTTTTAAGGAGTAACTGCAGGAGCAATGGGAGGGAAAACAGCCTCTGCCTCTTTGAGCCTCAGTTAGCATCCTGCTAGGGTAGTAGGAGGAAGCCCCTCTTTCCCACCTTGTCTCAGCCTCAGAGGTTGCGGGGACTCCGCCCACTGATCAGTTTCCATTCAGTTTCTTAGGCATCAGGGGAAATGGCTGCACCGTCTACACAGTGCAGCTGTCTGCCTTTCTGGGAGCCCAGTTGTGCTTGCTGGATAGATCCTGCAGGATCCTGGTGTCCAGATTCTCACTTGAAGGTTGCCCTGTGCCGATCTCCCCAGGCCCATACCCCAGCCAGAGGAGAAAAGTCGACCACAATAGCCTTTTCCCTGGCGGTGAATATTTTTATGGGCGGGGAGGAGGAGTGGAGAACAAAAAAAAAAAAAAAATGAAAACAATGTTTCTCGTTGCTTCTGATACAAACTCCTAGTTGAGACGTAATTCACCTTGTTCATTTGCTACAAGAGAAGCAAAAGACGTTAAATAATTTGACCGAGATTATAATGATACTAAGTAGCCAAGTCAAGTCTAGGGCCCTTGTTTTCTAACTGCCGGGTCTATACACATTTTTTTAAAAATCTCACGTTATCTCTAGGTTTTTACAATCGTTTCTCAGCTGAGCTTCTTGAAGGTTACCAGAAAAGCACAAGAAAATAACCGCAGGAAACTCTGGCAGAGTGAATAATGGAATATTTAGATGAGAGGTCATTTCTCCTGAGCTTTATAATAAGTGATATTTCTGTAGTAGACTTCAAGTAAAAAAACACTGGATACGTGCCAAAGATGTCATGGGACTTCTATGTTTAGAAACTATTTTCAATGGGAAAGTTTAGTTTAGGATAAATAAACACTTTAGGAACAGCTGTCTAAAGAACGAGCAAAAGTCTTAATTTTTCTATCCATTGAAATTGAACAAGAAGCAGAAACCTTGGACTGAATAGTGAGCAAAGATGATTTCATTCCCACAAAATAGAAAGCAAGTATTTGAGAATAGAATTAATAGATAGAGCTCCTGCTAAGGAGAGGATACATTTTTCTGTGCATTTAAAAGAAGATGAGTTAGTGGAGGATGTGTCAGCTACTAGACAAGGCGTCTTTTTTTCCCCTCTCTCTCTCTCTCTGTTGCCCTGGCTGGAGTGCAGTGGCGTCATCATAGCTCACAGCAACCTCAAACTCCTGGGCTCAAGCGATCCTTGATTCCTGCCTCAGCAATTCCTGCCTCAGCTTCCCAAGTAGCTGGGACTACAGGCATGTGTCACATCGCCTGGCTAATTTTTCTATTTTTAGTAGAGTCTGGGGTCTCACTCTTGCTCAGGCTGGTCTCAAACTCCTGCGCTCAAGCGATCCTCCCTCCTCGGCCTCCCTGAGTGCTAGGATTACAGGCGTGAGCCACCGTGCCCAACCTTAGACAAGGAGTCTTAAAGATGTCATATATTCTCAAATAAATTTGTGAAGGCATGCATAAATTTGGAAGTATAGTAACAACAGCTGAAGGTTGTGTATAAATAGGAATATTTGTGTCAAAGAGTAAGAAAACCTATCGTCAAGTTATACTAATTAAAAGTATGATACTGACACAAAAATAGATTATTAGCAGAATAGAAAGCCCAGAAAGCATATTTGAATGTGGATTTAGCTTATGGTAGTGAATAAAATCAGTGACAGAATTTCGTAAATGAACCCAGGAGAATTGATTAAATATTGAGGAAAAAAATAAAATAATATCTTTACTTAATATCAGTAGCCCAAATAAATTCCACTTGGATGACAGAATTAAAAATGGAAAAATAAAACTAACTTTAAGAAAGTTAAAAGAAAATACAAGTAAGTGTCTAATCAAAGTGGGAAGCCTTTTTTTTTCTTTAGCCCTTTTTATGCAAATGAATTTGAAGATGCAACCAGGCCAGGTGGTGGCTCACGCCTGTAATCCTAGCACTCTGGGAGGCTGGGGTGGGAGGATTGCTTGAGGTCAGGAGTTTGAGACCAGACTGAGCAACAGTGAGACGCCATCTCTACTAAAAATAGAAAAAAATTGTCTGGGCATGGTGGCATGAGCCTGTAGTCCCAGCTCCTCGGGAGGCTGAGGCAGGAGGAACACTTGAACCCAGGAGTCTGAGGTTGCTGTGAGCTAGCCTGATGCCACGGCACTCACTCTAGCTTGGGCAACAGAGTGAGACTCTGTCTCAAAAGAAAAAAAAAAGATGCAACCAAAATACTTGATTTGGGAAATGGTTATTCTAAGCAAATACTATGTTAAGAATCTAGACCTTGAAAGTAGGATATATCAGAACTTGGTAATTCTGGCAGAAATCAGAAATAGTCACTACTGTGAAAGTTGTTGGAAATCAGAGTGGTACCATGCCCATGTGACAAGTGATTTTAATTTGGAGTCAATTTCTTCATCATAAATAGACTCTAAGAGTGATATTTTGTATCTAATTCCTACAAGCCAATTGTTAAACCATTGGTGGCTTAAAATCAGCCGTGGTGTAAATATTTACACCAGGGGTATTGGCAGGTGCTGCAAATTGGGACTTTTTTTTTTTTTTTTTAAGAGAGCCATTTACCAGCATATCACTTGAAATAAGAATAGGCTTGTTAGAATTAAAAGAGATAATACTTTATTAAGGTGTATTAATACACAAAATAATACTTTATTTTGTGTATTAAATGGTGTTTCAATTCCATCAGATGTAAACAGTATTTGGTATGTTTTTCACTAACGTGGAAGGATTTTGACGTGTTACCTTGTCTTACAACTCATTCCCTGCTCTTGATAAACTGCATTTGTACACCGAAGTCATAAGTGATGCTTTCGTATTACGCCTCTCAACACACATAATGCACACATTACTTATATGTATTTTTTTTTCATCTTCACACACAGTTGCTTTCAAATGGAGTTTTCCCCTGGACGGTTAGTTGAAAGGCATTACCAATTCAGCTGGCCCTATCAGAAGATAAAATTTGCTGTGATTCCTTTATACCCATTTGACTTTCTTTGTTTCTACCTTTAATCTGCCTACCACATAAACTGATTTGTGTTTTTGACATTTTATTTTTAATTGCCTTATGAACTAACTGTTTCCTGTCTTTGAGCTTGATCCAAGCACATTATTGTTGTAAGCTTTAGCTCGAGCTGTCGTTTATTTATTCTGCCTCTTCCAAGACACTTTTGGTTCTGGCCGACAGGGATGGGGTAAGCTTGTTATTCTTTTCTTTCCTTTTTAAATTAATAGACTTTATTATTTTTTTTTTTAGAGTGATTTCAGGTGATTGTATAGAAAACTTGAGTAGAAGGTACAGAGAGTTGCTTTATTCCCAGGCCCATTTTTCCTTATTGTCAGTGTGTTTGTTACCATTGATGAAATAATTTTGCTACATTATTTTAATTAACTAAATCGCATAGTTTACATTAGGACTCACTGTTTCTGCTGCACATTCTATGGGTTTTGGCAGTTGTATAATGACATATATCCACCCTATAGTATCATATCAAGGAATTTCATTGCCCTAAACATCCTCTGTGTTCTTCCTATCTATCGCTTCCTTCCCCAAGGCCCTGGCTACCACTGATCTCTTCATTGTCTCTATAGTTTTGTCTTTTCCAGAATGTCATTTAGTTTGTAGCCTTTTCAAATTGGCTTCTTTTTCTTAGTAATATGCATTCAAATTTCCTTCATGACTCTTCAGAGCTTCATAACTCATTTCTTTTTAGCCCCGAATAATACTCCATTGTCTGGACGTATCACAGTTTATTTATCCGTTCACCTACTGAATGACATTTCCGTGGCTTCCAAGTTTTACCAATTATGAACAAAGCTGCCATAAACACACCCATGTGTAGGTTTTTGTGTGGGCAGTTTTCAGCACCCTTGGGTAAATACCAAGGGACATGCCTGCTGGATCACATGGTAAGAGCATGTTTAGTTTTGCAAAAATCCACCAAACTGTCTATTTTTTTTTTTTTTTTTGAGACAGATCCCATTTTTGCCTACCAGGCCTGAGTGAGTGACGGTGGCGTCAGCCTAGCTCACCAGCCAACCTCCATAAACCATCCCTGGGCTCGAGTGATCCTTCTGCCTGCAGCCCTCCGCGAGTAGCCTGGGACTACAGGCATGTGCCCAGCTATGCCCGGCTAATTTTTTATTATATATATACAGTCAGAATTGGCCAATTAATTCTTTCGTATTTAATGTAGAAGACGGGTCTCGTCTTGCTCGGCTGGGTTTTGAACTCCTGACTGAGCAATCCGCCCGCCTCGGCCTCCCAAGAGCTAAGATTACAGGCGTGAGCCACAGCGCCCGGCCTCAAACTGTCTATTTTAAAGTGACTGTACCTTGTTGCATTCCCATCAGCAACGAATGAGAGTTCCACTCCACCACCCTTACTACCATTTGATATTGTCAGTGTTTTGGACATTAGCCATGCTAATAGGTATGTAGTAGTATATACCATTGTTTTAATTTGCAATTCCCTGGAGAAACGAGGTTGAGCATATTTTGGCATGCTTATTTGCTATCCGCATGTCTTCTTTGGTGAGGTTTCTGTTCATATCTGGTGCCCATTTCTAAAATGTGTTGTTTCTTTTCTTATTATTGTTGCGTTTTAAGTGTTCTTTATGTATTTTGGATACCAGCCCTTTATCAGGTATATGTTTCCAAAGATTTTCTCCCAATCTGTGGCTTGTCTTTTTATTCTCATAATAGTGTTTTTTGCAGAGTAGAAGTTTTTATTTTAATAAAGTCCAACTTACAATTTTTTTCTTTCATGGATCTTAATGATGACTTTTTTTTTTTTTTTTGAGACAGAGTCTCGCTTTGTTGCCCAGGCTAGAGTGAGTGCCGTGGCGACAGCCTAGCTCACAGCAACCTCAGACTCCTGGGTTCAAGTGATCCTCCTGCCTCAGCCTCCCGAGTAGCTGGGACTACAGGCATGCGCCACCATGCCCAGCTAATTTTTTCTATATCTATTAGTTGGCCAATTAATTTATTTCTATTTATAGTAGAGGTGGGGGTCTCGCTCTTGCTCAGGCTGGTTTCGAACTCCTGACCTTGAGCAATCCTCCCGCCTCGGCCTCCCAGAGTGCTAGGATGACAGGCGTGAGCCACCGCACTTGGCCTTGATGATGAGATGATGACTTTTTATCCAAAAAGTCACCAACAAACCCAAGGTCACCTAGATTTTTTTCTCCTATCTTCTAGAAGTTTTATAGTTTTGCATTTTACATTTTGATCTATGATCCATTTTCAGTAAATTTTTGTGAAAGGTGTAAGTTCTATGTCTGGATTTCTTTTTTTACCATGAGGGTGTCTGGTTGTTCTAGCACCATTTGTTGAAAAGTCTTCCTTTTGTCATTGAATTTATTTTACTCTCCTGTTGAAGATCAGTTGAGTATATTTGTGTGGGTCTATTTCTGGGCTCTTTATTCTTTCCCACTGATTTATTTGTGCTTTCGCCAGTATCATACTTGATCTTCTCCTTGAGTATTTAGTGTTGGCTATTCTGAGTCATTTGCCTTTCCATACAAGCGTTAGAGTCAGTTTGTTGATAGCCACAAAATAACTTGCGGGAGATAGGCTTGCCTTTGAAACTACAAATTTTGCATTTGCTTTTTAAATTCAGGGATATTTTTGACTTTTGTTCTTGTTTCAAATCTATTTACCTGGCCGGGCGCGGTGGCTCACGCCTGTAATCCTAGCTCTCTGGGAGGCCGAGGAGGGCGGATTGCTCGGGGTCAGGAGTTCGAAACCAGCCTGAGCAAGAGCGGAGACCCGTCTCTACTATAAATATAGAAAGAAACATAATGGCCAACTAAATATATAGAAAAAATTAGCCGGGCATGGTGGCACATGCCTGTAGTCCCTAGCGAATGGGAGGCTGAGACAGAAGGACGCTTGAGCCCAGGAGTTTGAGTGTTGCTGTGAGCGAGGCTGACGCCACGGCAGCCTGCACCGAATCCTAGCCTAGCAAACAAAGCGACGACTCTGTCTCCAAAAAAAAAAAAAAAAATCTATTTACCTTATACCTTTTCTTTCATAGGTGGTCATCAAAATTTTTATTGTTAGCCAATATAGTGTGTAAGTAATAATTATTCTAATTAATAAGCAATTCCATAGTATACAACAATTTATTATTTATATAAATCTTCTTTTTGAGACAGAGTCTCACTCTGTTTGCCCTCAGCTTGAGAGAGGTAGAAGTGAGCCGTGTGCATCAAAGCTTTAGCCACAAAGCAACCTCAAATTCCTGGGCTCGAAATGATCTCCTGCCTCAGCCTCCGGAGTAGCCTGGAACTACAGGCATGTCCTACAAGCGAACTAATAGCCCGACTAATTTTTTACATAGTTATGTTTTTAGTTGGCCATGATTAGTTTCTGTTCTGTTTAGTAGTAGATGTGGGTCTCAACTCTATGCTTAGGTGAGTTTCGAACTCCTAACCTTGGAGCACAGTAACTCTCCTGCCACCAGCCTAATGACAAGAGCTGCTGGGATTACAGGTGTGAGCCACCGCACCTGGCCTAAAGTAGTAATTTTTATCCCTAAAGACCTCTTCTTAGACGTGAGTGAGCAATAGTCAGCTTTCGCAGACTTCACTAGGGTCATTTTATTTTTTGATTTTAATTTTTAGAGGCAGAGTCTTGCTCTATTGCCCAGGCTGGAATGCAGTGGAGTGATCACAGCTCACCACAACCTCCAACTCCTGGGTTCTAGCAGTTTCCCGCCTCAGCCTCCCAAGTAGCTGGGACTACAGGCGCCACCATGCCTAGCTAATTTTTTTTGTTGAGAGATGGGGTCTTGCTATATTGCCCAGGCTGGTCTCAAACTCCTGGTCTCAAGGGATCCTCCCACCTCATCTTCCCAAAGTACTGGGATTATAGGTGTGAGCCACCATGCCCAGCCTCAGGGTCGTTTTAGACTACATTTAGCTACCTGCAGGGATTCCAAAATACCTCAACTGCTGAGAATTACTATTATTTTGAGGGATATTACTATTTGGGATATTGTGCAGAGGAGAATGATGGGGGCAGAAAAAAAAGTAATGAACCTAAACACATATCACTTTAAGGGTTATACACTGTGTCTCTTCTTCCTTGTCTCTTCTTTTTGACTGAATTTAAATTTATAAGGATATAGGGGTCTTATAAGCACGAAGAATATATTAAGTATACCAAGTACAGTGCTATAGGGAGAATAAGCCATCCCAAAATACTGGTATTTATTTTTTATTTGCACTTTATCTAAGAGAAGGATTAGGCATGCCAGCTTTTAGATCCCTGGATTTTAATTATTTAGGTTTGGCTTTATTCTTATCACTGTCTTAGAGTTTAGTAGATTTATATTCCAAGAATGTTTAATATGGCATTGGGTTTTTCCAGTTTCTAATTCAAGCCTGAATTGTGTTCTTAGGAATTATACTCTAACAGTGTGTGTTTATTCTTTCATAAGCTTATGTAAATGTTTCAAAATTTTGTAATAGCATGTAGAGAAATATTACTACTTGGCAATATAAAATATTTAATTCTAGTAACATCAAGTTACTCCAGTAATGTGGAAGCTAGCCTTCTTTTTCCCCTACTTGGAGTGATTATCCCTGGTTTTCTCCTATTAGCAGAAATGAGAAAAATTCACACATCTTTTACCAAGGCTAAATAGGAGGTCGAGGCAGGAGGATTGCTCGAGGTCAGGAGTTCGAAACCAGCCTGAGCAAGAGCGAGACCCCATCTCTACTATAAATAGAAAGAAATTAATTGGCCAACTAATATATATAGAAAAAATTAGCCAGGCATGGTGGCGCATGCCTGTAGTCCCAGCTACTCGGGAGGCTGAGGCAGGAGGATCGCTTGAGCCCAGGAGTTTGAGGTTGCTGTGAGCTAGGCTGACGCCACGGCACTCACTCTAGTCTTGAGCAACAAAGCAAGACTCTGTCTCAAATAAAAAAAAAAAAAAAAAGGCTAAACATTAGGATGGAATACAAAGTTGGGGGAAACAACTTTAATACATAAAAAATGTTATCTAATTTTTGTTTCTAGAATATTAATGAGGTTAAATATAATTTTCATGTTTATGGACCTCTTCTATTGTATCATTTGTAATTTGTTCATGTCTTTTGTCCTGTTTTAATTTGAGGGCATGGTTCTTTTTCTAATCAATTTCATTAGAGCTTCATGCATAGAAATGAAAGTGACTAACTCTGTACCTATTATACACCATACATATTTTTCCTGCCTCCTAATTTTATTTCATTTATATATATATATCTATTCTTAATGATTCTTCTTGCATTTAACACTATATTTTGAACATTTTCCCATGCCATTTGGTATTTTTTGATAATGTTATTTCAAATGTCTGTATGGAATTCAGTTTATTAGATTATAAAAATAATTTATTTTGCTAATCCCCATTTATGGAGATGAAGTTTCAGTTTTCAAACTTGAAATGTTACTATCTTGGATGATAACTTAGAAATAAAGTCTTTCCTAAAAATTTGGCTGTATTGGCAAATTTCTAAACATGCAATTATGATACCTTGGAATATTTGGTTGTGCTTAATTTTTAAGGAAGTAGAAGACAGTAAAGGCAAGTTATTTGAGAGGTCATTTTAACTAAAAAAATTTTTTTTTCGAGACAGAGTCTCACTCTGTTGCCTGGGCTAGAGTGAGTGCCATGGTGTCAGCCTAGCTCACAGCAACCTCAATCTCCTGGCTCAATTGATCCTCCTGCCTCAGCCTCCCGAGTAGCTGGGACTACAGGCATGCCCCACCATGCCCGGCTAACTTTTTCTATAAATATTAGTTGGCCAATAAATTTCTATTTATAGTAGAAACGAGGTCTCCCTCTTGCTCAGGCTGGTTTCGAACTCCTGACCTCAAGCGATCCTCCTGCCCCGGCCTCCCGGAGCACATTTAGTCTTGTGCTTTCTGTTCCTAGTGCTTTGCCTTGCTGCTGCTTTTTCATCATTCAGGCCCAAGTTCAAGTGCAGTTTCTTCAGCGAACGCCATTTCCCCAGCATGTCTTCCAAAGTAGTATTGCCTTTCAGTCCCCTAAGCCCGTTCCTGTTTCATTTACCCAGATCTGTTTTCTCTCCTTCGTTGCATTTGACTGTCCGATTAAGGTCTGTTCATTGAGTAAGTATTTATTGTGCACTTAGTATATGCCAGGTGTTGTTCTTGGGATTCACCAGGAACAAAGAAGATAAAAGAGAGTCCCTGTTCTTATGCAGTTCACAGTCGTAGGGTGGAGAAAGAAACAGGACATAATAACGACAATGTATAACTAAATCGTACTTATGTTAGGCAGAGCGTTAGGAGGTGGCGTGAAATAGACAGAAATGGAGATTGGGAGATCTGGATGGGGTAGGGGCAGGACACGTATTAATTAAAGTGGGGTTGGGGGGCCTCTTTGAGTTGATTGCTAAAGCAGGGTTCTTTTGTTTCTTTTAGCTTCGGCTCCTGTCAGCAAAGTGAATAAGTACTGTGCTTCTCCCAGCTTTCATCCCACGTGTGGAAGGAAGAATATCATCATGTCCAACATCACGATCGACCCAGACGTCAAGCCTGGGGAGTACGTCATTAAGAGCCTCTTTGCAGAATTTGCCATTCAAGCTGAAAAGAAAATTGAAGTTGTAATGGCTGAACCGTTGGTGAGTAGAGCTGACTTCCAGATCTGAAACGTTTTCTCGACTTTTGCATGAATCATTACAATACAGATTTTCCAAAGGAAATACTCTACTTGGAAAAAAAAAATATTAGGGGCTAGTGGTGATGTCAAAAGCCGCTTTAGAATCCACTTTGATAAGTTACTGCAGGTCACAAATGAACAAAAATGGGTTTCACCAGTGGGATTTGTGGAGATAGATAAAAGATAACAGGAAATGGAGGAGATTTTAGAAGATTCTGTGAGTTAACGCCAAGACCCTAACCATACTTCCAGTAGACAAGCGAACGTATTTTTGCACTTACATTTCGTGAGTCATACTTGCAGAATGTGAAGAGCTCTGTGCAAGTAGAGCCAATGGCAGGGGGAAGGAAAGGAAGAGAGAAACTGAAAACAAATGTTTGGCTCAGTTTCTGAAGAGTTGTAAATGCTATTATGATAGATAATCCAGCGGTTGAACAGTAAGAGGGAGAAGAGATTGAAGACAGACTTTTTAGCTATTGTATGTAGCTGGAAAACCTTTTCTTCATCTAAAACACAAATATTATCACCCTTCTGCTTTAAAAACTCTTGCTTGCTTTTCATTGCTATGGAATAAATCCAAGCTGTTGACAATTCTTTCCAGGCTCTTCATTGCCTTGTTAAAGTTTGTGTAATATTTTCTTATTCTCCTACCTTGTCGTATGTTTCGGTGCTTGAAATACCCTCTATCTATTTTTCTGACCTGGTGTGGGTGATCTTATTTTTCTCTCAATCTAAAATGCTTTTAACTCCTGTTATTTTTAAAAATCTACTCATCCTTCCAGACTTCCCATATGTTCTTTCTAACATAGTGATCCTCCCCAAAGCTAAGTGAATCTTTGTTCTGCCATAAAAATCTGCACATACTCGAAGATTATGATTATGTCATATTATAGTTAATTGCTTGCATGTTTATCACCTCGGATATGAGTTCCTGGAGACCAAGAAGCAGATTTCTCTCCTCTCTGATTCTGTGGTGGGGGGCTACTCAGTAGAGAAGGTGCTTTTCAAAGGTTTGCGTTCCACGTTGACTTTAGCCTTAAGAAAACATAGCTGTGTTGTGTGTCTTTTGTTCTTCTAGTGAAACATGATGTCATTATATCTAGCCAGAGCTTCTAATAGTTCTTTTGCAATACTCTGATGCTGACTGTATCTTATTCATTCATTCAGTAGATAATTTCAGAGGTATCTGCTACATAATCTAAAATAAGGTTATAAAAATATTGTTAATAGTGGTGAGAATTCCATCAGAACATAGATGTTTCTACTCCATCATCCCACAAATAGGAGAGAAGAGTCATTCCTGCTTAGTCTTCCCGATATACCAGGAAAACCCCCAAAGCCCTGTCGTATTTTTACCAGTTTTATCCCTTACGCTCCTGTATATAACAACAAAATTTCTTCTTATCTAGGCCACAGCTCTGCGTGCTTTGTTTTCATTTATATCCAGGTCTGGGTAGATTGGAAATCCATAGCATCAAGATTAGATGATACATCAAGATTAGATGATACAAAATACATTGAATCTAATATTGCCACAATGTTTACATTATAGCTTCAAATGCTTTTATTGTGGTTTCATTTATTAGGAAATTTATTCTGTACCCTTTTAGGTAATGAACAACCATGCAAGATGATGGGGTTCTGTAATGGAAGTCTTACAGAGTTACTTTAAAGAGAATAGCATGCAGGGCTTGTAAGAGTCAAGGAGGGTGGTGCATGGCTCTTGGTCCATCGGGACAGGAGGTTACAGAGAACCTTAGAAGCACAAATGCGAATGGCTTTTGCTGAAAGAATTTAATCGAACGCTAAAAAATGCAAGAATTGGCTTTTTCATCCTCACATTAGAAACCATAATAAAAGGAGGTTAAGGAGGCCAGAACATTTCTAAGGTTAGCTGAGCTAGGTTTTTAGCCACAATTTCACTTTCATTTTAGAAGGTAGATTCAGGAAGGGCAATCGGTGATTGAAATTGTAGCTCGCAAACTATGCAATCCAATACATTAGATTTCTTTCTTGCTAAAAGAAGATGGATCAATCCTCAGTAATGAACCAGGCACATACAAGTTTATTTGTTAATTTTTTTAGATTGCCAATGACTGGAAAAGAAGATAGGAAAAAAAAAGATTTTTTTACCAATCACCTGCTGATTTCGACCTTATGTATTTGGTTTAGGCCAAGCATTTTAAAAACTCTGCAATTTCCACTATTTTTTGAGAATATTAAATATATATGTATTTTTAAAAAGTGTCTTCTTGGGCCGGACGCGGTGTCTCACACTTGTCATCCTAGCACTCTGGGAGGCCGAGGCGGGTGGATCGCTCAAGGTCAGGAGTTCGAGACCAGCCTGAGCAAGAGCGAGACGCTGTCTCTAAGAAAAATACAAAGAAATTAGCTGGACAACTAAAAATATATAGAAAAAATTAGCTGGGCATGGTGGCGCGTGCCTGTAGTCCCAGCTACTCGGGAAGCTGAGGAAGGAGGATTGCTTGAGTCTAGGAGTTTGAGGTTGCTGTGAGCTAGGCTGATGCCACGGCACTCTAGCCTGGGCACCAGAGTGACACTCTGTCTCAAAAAAAAAAAAAAAATCATGCATAGGGAATGGATTAGGTACTTGGTACAGGGTGTGCTGAATTGTTAATTTACTTTCAAGACTTAAAAAATTTGTAAGGAGACAAGAGTTAATGTATAAAATGCTGAGATGGTACCTTGCCCATAGCACTATCAATCATCATTCAACTCTAGGAAATTATCAAATTATTAATAGAAGAATTGGCTCGGCAATGGGTATATGTCTAAATAATATAAGGGGGCATTTTGAGGAAAGAAACTACTTTTCCTAAGCAATGGTTCCAGGCAGTATACCAGCTTATTTTTCCTGGTTTCTTGGACTAGAAAATTCCATACTTCTTTGAACTATCACAGTGTAGAGAGAAAAATGAAAAGCTTCCTGTTTTTTTCTTAAACTAGCATATTACTGATACCAGTATTTGACAATCAGCCTGTTTTTTTTAGATGAGAAAATTGAAGCCCAGAGGCGGTAAGTCCCCAGCCTAAGGTCAGGCCAGAGCTGTCAAACCAAGGCCATCTGGCCACATGGGACATGCTCATAATCTCTACTGGGCTGCTTTTCGGTAAACACTGGAGGGAATTAATGAGTGAATGAATGAAGCAATCGATCAACAAAAGAAATAACGAATGAACACCACATGCTGTGGACTGTTGAACTTGAATCTAAATAAGCGCTACGTTGAGTTTTACGCTTGTGTTCTAAGAGCTGTTGAACTGAATTTGTCACAGGGACCACGGGACAATGCACTCTCTGTTTTTGGAGGGACCCGCTGAGGGCTGTGACTCAAGAGCCACACTCGGGGATGATGAAGGCATCGAATCCTAGTTGTGCCACCTTGCTCCAAGTAGAGGTTTACCTGTCTTCAAAACAACCTAGTTACAAAGGGGAAAAAAAAAAAAGCAAAACTGACTCATAAGTTTAATCTGTTTATCATAATAGGAGATTTCTAATAGTTTGTATTTATACTTTATTTTTTAATATTTTTTTTTTTTTGTAGGAGAAGCTATTGTCCAGATTCCTTCAGAGGGTGAAGATCTTCAGTTTGACCAGTATGTCAATATTGGGGGGAATATTTTTTTCCTGGAATAATAATAGTTGGTTATTATAGTTAGTTTCCTGTTCATCATAATAGTTAGTCCAAATATACCCAATCTTAAGAAATTCCCTTACTTTGTTTAGTGAGCCTGTATATCCTCATATACTAAATTCCTTCTGGAATTGATAGTTTTTTTTGTTTACTTGTTGTTTTTTTAACAAGTAATAGAATGAGCTGTGAGCTTTACTGATTTCAGTTCATTTCGCATTTGAAAACTTTTGACTTTCCATTGTTTATCTCTTTAGCGTGCCCTTTTACAATTTTTCTTGGAAAGCTTCAGTCTTTGTGTGCCAGCTGCTACAATTTTTATGGAATAGTATTTTACCTTTAATATTTTTTTTCCGTTGGGCTTTGAGAACCTGTATGTATTAAAATAGAATACAACATCTAAAACCTTGTGTGATATTTTCCTAACGGGTAAATGTTCCTCTTGCTGAGATTACATGTGATCAAGTGTTATTTTATCATAATAATTTTATTATTATATGTCATTATTTGAAAAGAGCAATTACTCATATTAGCTTTTTTTTTTTTTTTTTTTTTGAGACAGAGTCTCGCTTTCTTGCCCAGGCTAGAGTGAGTGCCGTGGCATCAGCCTCGCTCACAGCAACTCAGACTCCTGGCTCAAGCAATCCTCCTGCCTCAGCCTCCCGAGTAGCTGGGACTACAGGCACGAGCCACCATCCCGGCTGATTATTTATATAGTATTTAGTTGGCCAATTAATTTCTTCTATTTTTTGGTAGGACGGGTCTCGCTCAGGCTGTTTTTGAACTCCTGACTTGAGCAATCCGCCCCTCGGCCTCCAGAGTGCTAGGTTACAGCGTGAGCCACCGCGCCCGCCTCATATTAGCTTTTTGTTGCCATCTAGTATTCCTGGCCCACATTACTCAAAATTATGTGTCTAAGAAAAGGTTAATGTATATTAGGCTAATTGATTTGATGAGAAGACTGGTTAAAACTGCTTGGTTAGAGACTTCCAAAATTCGTGTCCTGGTTCCCACCCAGTTCTGCTGAATTAAAATCACCAGGGTCATTTAGCACCTGTGTTTACAGCGTTTATTAGCAATAGCCACTGATCTAAAGAGAAACCACAAATAGGAAGTTACCTCCTCTAATAGTACTGTAATAAGATAACCTTATATAATACTTTTCTATCCCTGTGCAGTTACAGAAGTTATTTAGATTATTCACATCCCTCATCTGCTTACTCATCAGTGTCTAATCAGGATTGAAATGTGATTAAACATTTTAAGAAAATTTCCATTTGTGAAGTAACAAATGGAAATCTTAAGTAAATGATTAATAAAATGATAATGATTGGCTCGTGCTTCTGTTTTTTTTTTTTTTTTTCCCTCACCGTATAAAGCTACGTGGTGTAAACTGTTTTGGTATTATGTTGACAGTAGCAGATGGGGTTTTATCTTTCCTCCTTTAGGTATTAAAAAGGGATTTCCGGCCAGGCATGGTGGCTCACGCCTGTCATCCTAGCACTCTGGGTGGCCGAGGCGGGAGGATCACTCAAGGAGTTGGAAACCAGCCTGAGCAAGAGCGAGACCCCATCTCTACTAAGACAAAATAGAAAGGAAAGTAATTGGCCAACTAAAATATATAGAAAAAATTAGCTGGGCATGGTGGCGCATGCCTGTAGTCCCAGCTACTTGGGAGGCTGAGGCAGGAGGATTGCTTGAGCCCAGGAGTTGGAGGTTGCTGTGAGCTAGGCTGATGCCATGGCCCTCTGGCCTGTGCAACAGAGTGAGACTCTGTCTCAAAAATAACTAACTAACTAAATAAATAAATAAAAATAAAATAAAAAGGAATTTCCTTTGAGTGATACTGTACATTGCAATATAAATTTTAAAAAGTGGTTAAATAAAATCAGAATATTGTTTTTACTTAATTTTCCATATTAGAGACTATTTACCTGTCAAATTATGGTACTTTACAATATAAGGATGATGAAAGGAGTCTTTGTAAGTACTGAAACAGAGAACAGCCTACAGAGTCAAATAGACTGCCTCATTCTTTTCCATTCACAATTTCCTGAATGAAGTACGTTTCGAAGTTGCTTACAGAAAAGGAAATAATAGGAAAATTAAATGTTTGATTTACAGAGATACCAAGTTATCTTCATTAACTGCCTCTTCCTGTAGTCAGGGAACTGAAGGAGACCTTGAATATTCCTATAATCCATCGTTTTTCAAACGAGTCCATAGAATGAAGCATGTTTGATTACATGCTGATTTTGAAATATTAATTTTCTGACCAATGGGTCAAATCAGATACAGAAATTCTTGTGCAGAGAGAAGAAAGTTTTTCTTGGGACCCTCAAGATGTTAAGAGTCACCTTAGGGTCTGCTGATTGAAATTGGGGTGGCTCACAAAATGAATCCAGGCTGTTCTCCTAGAATTCAGGTTGTTTCAAAATTAATAGCAGTCGTTCACCACACTACACTTGATCCCTTTTTTTTTTTTTTGAGACAGAATCTCACTTTGTTGCTCAGGCTAGAGTGAGTGCCGTGGCGTCAGCCTAGCTCACAGCAACCTCAATCTCCTGGGCTCAAGCGATCCTCCTGCCTCAGCCTCCCAAGTAGCTGGGACTACAGGCATGTACCACTATGCCCCACTATTTTTTCTGTATATATATTAGTTGGCCAATTAATTTCTTTCTATTTATAGTAGAGACAGGGTCTTGCTCTTGCTCAGGCTGGTTTTGAACTCCTGACCTTGAGCCATCCTCCCACCTCGGCCTCCCAGAATGCCAGGATGACAGGCGTGAGCCACCGCGCCTGGCCTGATGCTTATTTTAATTTTAAAACATATTTGTTGTCAAAACCCCAGTGGGGTTTTGGTCTAGGTTTAGTTACTTCTTGCACATAGAGCCGATGATTGAGACAACAGTGTTGTCTCATTGTTGAAGGCTTCCTTTCAAGGAAGAAAGGAATTTTTAATACTCTAGACCAGGTGTCCTCATGGGGCCCGCTGAGGACATTTATCCGTCCTGCCCATTGTTTTTGCCACCGCTGCCTGTCCTGCTTAGCAGCTCACTCATCCTGGGCCCATAGTGCTCACTCTCCAATGGTCTGGGGGACAGTGAACTGGCCCCCTCTTTCAGAAGTTTGAGTTTAGAAACATAAGATGATGATGCATGAAAAAAAAAAAGATACAATAAAAATGTAGTTAATTTAAAAAATAAGTAAATAAAAAGTTTGAGGAGCTATGCGCTAGACGTCATCAAGAGAAGCTGCCTCAACTCCAGCTGCACCAAGGGAGATCATGGGCTTTTAGAGGAGGGCCCAGGGGACTTGGAGCAGGTCACAGGTGCCTTGGGGAAGGTCATGGGGTAACTAAGGAGGGCAAGTTCGTAGGGGCGGTGAATCTGGTGTCAGAAGTCTGCCCAGAGTCCTTCAGCATCTCAGCTTTTTTGTCTTGCAGAAAATCCACCATTTCTGGGAAACGACTCACAAGGTCTAGTCCAGGGGTCCTCACACTTTTTAAACAGGGGGCCAGGTCACTGTCCTTCAGACCATTGGAGAGTGCGCACTGTGGGCCCGGGACGAGTCGGCTGCTAAGCAGGACAGGCAGTGGTGGCAAATACACGGGCTGGATAAATGTCCTAGGCAGGCCACATGTGGCCCTCGGGCTGTAGTTTGAGGACACCTGGTCTAGTAGGTAGTTAAGGGAGATGATTTTATAAGGGTCATTAAAATTTGTTCAAAGGGGGGCCTAATATACATTTACTGCACCTGAGTCACTGTGTCTGTTCATTTGTAAATGATTGCTAATAGCGTTAAGGGTGTGGTTGGCAGGCACAAGAACTGTCCACGGAGGCGGGAAGTGGCCTTATGGCTGATGCACTTTGTTTTCTGCATGCAGAGAGCAGAGTGCTTTGCTTTCGCCAGAGTCACCTTTGCAAGTTGATCTGGTGACTGTAGCCCACAGCACGAGAGGTCTCACTATTCTCAGTTTGGGGTTTGGTAGCAGACAGGTGGTCACATTAGAATAGTCACACAAACTGTTCAGTGTTACAGGAACCTTTTCTTGGGGGTTGGAATACTCCCCTTTTCTAAAAATGCAATGCACTAAAACTATTTTAAGAATGTAGTTAATTCTGCTCATTCGTAAAGTGGACATCTTCCTGTGTTTTAGGTGCAATGTTGAAGTCCTCGCTTTTCTTGTTTTCTCACTCGCTCTCTGTTTTGTAAACCAGTTTTACTTTATGAATATGTCATGACATTTGTAATAGATTGAAAAAAAAAAAAAGAGTGTGGTTGGCGCTTTCGATGTGACAGTTTGCCTTCTGTGATCTCTTGTGTTGCCAGTTGATAAGCTCTATGAGCTCAGTAGCAGAGCACTGTCTCCCTTCCTTACTCCGCACGCTGTTCGACTGGTACCGCCGCCAGAACGGGGCTGAGGACGAGTCCTACGAGTACAGGCCTCGGTCCAGCACAAAGTCCAAGGGGTAAGTGGCCGGTCTGCCACCTTGTTTTTTTCTTGGAACTGAAACACTTCCAGCGACCCGGTGCTGGTGATGCCGTCCACTGAGGATTATTGTGATTGTTTGGTTCCTAAGAGGCAAGCGTTGATTGTTTTTGTTGTCGCAAAGGACTGGGAGGAAGGGGGCAAGGGTTGATCATCACACTTGGGACTCTGAGACAAGAGAAGGGACCAGTGGAAACCGAGGTGTGGTCCTGCATTACTCGTCACTGGGTGGAGGTCACAGAAGTGAGTTTCAGGAGTGTCATTTCAGCAGTTCAGTGAGGAGCTTTAATAGTCACGGAAGAAGTTAATATTCAAAGGTTCTCTGTGTGTGGTTTATGAAGGGAAGCAATTGCGATTGATACAGGAAGATTGCCAAAACCCTGTATTATTATTATTTTTATTATTTTTTGATTCGTAAAGATTTTGTAATTTTTTTTTTACTGATACATAATGAATGTACGTCGTTTCAGGGAAATCCCCGTGTTGTCCTAGTTCTGTGATACTCTATTTGCTGTTCAAATCCTAGAATTTGTCTCCTCCTCCTTCTAATCTCCCAGAGAGATCCTGGCATTACATATAACATCTACCTGTGGCCAGGTGATTGCCCATGGTTTAATATTGGGCTTTAGTAAGTGCCACTTGTGATGTTTCAGCTGTAGATTTGTGAAAAGGTTAACCTTGCGTTGTATTTTCATCTATGAGATTTATTACTTTTGTTTCAGTTCTTAATATAAAAATTAGTAGTCAAATATGGAGCAATGCTAGATTTTTCTAGATGAAACTTAAAAGAAACTTTCTTTCTCTTACTAATTCTTTTAGATTCGGTTTAATTACTGACAGATATAATAATGAAATGTGTGTATAAACACCTGATGTATGAAAAGAGAAAACATGAGAACATGTAATATATGCATTGGATTATTTACAGACCTCATACTAATAATCGCTATAGCACACTATACATGTAGGAACAGAGTAAGCAACATGAACTACTAGCCAATAGCTGTCTTAAGACTTACAGTCATAATGCAGTGCTGATTTTGGGTTCTTGTTTCAGGGATGAACAGCAACGTGAAAGAGATTACCTTCTCGAAAGGAGAGACTTAGCAGTAGATTTCATTTTTTGTTTAGTTTTAGTTGAAGTTCTAAAGCAGGTAAGCTGTTTTATTTCTGCAAAGTCTGTATTTCTTATTCTTTGCCTTACCGTGCCTTCGTGATGTCTCAGTTATTTTATTTAGGAGATTAGGTCTAAAGTCCTGGCCCACATAGACTAGATCCCTGTAATTTAATTACACTTCTTTCCGTTGCCTGGGGCTTTCCTGCTCGGTACCTGTCTGTCACTCTCTGTTCTTTTCACCTTCCTTTGCCATCCGACAGATATGAAATGTTGCTGGCAAAATGGAGCTGAATGGCAACTGTGTTGCGTATGGGCTTTTCACTGTAAATACAGCCTGCCTGCCAGTCTAGCTGCTTTAATCCCTTTTTTTACTTCCACTTAAATCTCTCTTCCTAAACCCTCCAGCCTGGCTTCCAACCTGTAAGAATTCCGTCTGACCAGGTAGTGAAAATATGTAGTATATTTCCCCACCAAGGCTAACAAGCACAGTGTGGTCCATAGCTCTGTGCGGCCCTTAACGACAGAGAGCAGGGGGGCTGACCTTCTGCTTGAGTACTTTGAGCAGCCTGCGCTCTGGATCAAGTGCACTTTTCCCTATCATCGGAGTTGAGAGTTATTGTCATACTCTAGTTGAGTAGGGAGACAGGATGGCCTCAATGAGTCTTTGTATACATACAGTCTATATGCTGGCCCAAAGCTCCAGATACAGCTTATCCCTGCCTTTCCTTCCGCACTTCGTCATCTTCCTTGACGTATTTCTGCGCTTTACCCCACTTCCACATTCTGTACTCCACAATATGTAGAGTGTCTAAGAAAGATGCAGCAACACTATCGGTGGTTTTATTTTCCCTTTCACTTGGGACCACGATTTCTCTGCAATGCTTTTTATATTAGGAAATATTTAATTGATAGCTCTCACTGGAGAATGACTTTGTCAAATTACAATTGACATTTGGTTTAAAGAGACTCTGTACCAACATTACTAGTGTTGCCATTGTGTTTTTCCACCTCTAGTTTCTGTCTTGTATTTAATAGATGCCCACCGAGCATCGCACGTGTGCTTGCCTACAGGCTACCAAGAGTTGTGTTACAGCGTTGCTTAGTTGGCTACACAGCCAGCTCACAGCAACTCCTGACTCTATACACCGAGCACACAATAGGAGTTATCTCATGTCTTAAAGAATATTATAATCTTTCTATCCCTGTGCAGTTACAGAAGTTATTAGATTATTCACATCATGCATCTGCTTACTGCTTGTGTCTAATCAGGATTGAAATGTATTAAACATTTTAAGAAATTCCATTTGTGAAGTAACAAATGGAAATCTTAAGTAAATGATTAATAAAAATGATAAATGATTGGGCCTCATGGCTTCTTCTTTTTTCCCCTCACTATATAAAGCTACGTGCAGTGTAAACTGTTTGGTATTATGTTGACAGTAGCAGATGGGGTTTTATCTTTCCTCCTTTAGGTATTAAAAAGGGATTTCCGGCCAGGCATGTGTCACCCTGTCATACTAGCATCTGGGTGGCCGAGCGGGAGGATCACTCAAGGAGTTGAAACCAGCCTGAGCAAGAGCGAGACCCATCTCTACTAAGACAAAATAGAAAGGAAAGTAATTGGCCAACTAAAATATATAGAAAAAATTAGCTGGGCATGGTGGCGCATGCCTGTAGTCCCAGCTACTTGGGAGGCTGAGGCAGGAGGATTGCTTGAGCCCAGGAGTTGGAGGTTGCTGTGAGCTAGGCTGATGCCATGGCCCTCTGGCCTGTGCAACAGAGTGAGACTCTGTCTCAAAAATAACTAACTAACTAAATAAATAAATAAATAAAATAAAAAGGAATTTCCTTTGAGTGATACTGTACATTGCAATATAATTTTAAAAGTGGTTAAATAAATCAGAAATTTTTCTTAATTTTCCATATTAGAGACTATTACCTGTCAATTATGGTACTTTACAATATAAGGATGATGAAAGGAGTCTTTGTAAGTACTGAAACAGAGAACAGCCTACAGAGTCAAATAGACTGCCTCATTCTTTTCCATTCACAATTTCCTGAATGAAGTACATTTCGAAGTTGCTTACAGAAAAGGAAATAATAGGAAAATTAAATGTTTGATTTACAGAGATACCAGTTATCTTCATTAACTGCCTCTTCTGTAGTCAGGGAACTGAAGGAGACCTTGAATATTCCTATAATCCATCGTTTTTCAAACGAGTCCATAGAATGAAGCATGTTTGATTACATGCTGATTTTGAAATATTAATTTTCTGACCAATGGGTCAAATCAGATACAGAAATTCTTGTGCAGAGAGAAGAAAGTTTTTCTTGGGACCTCAAGATGTTAAGAGTCACCTTAGCTGCTGATCGAAATTGGGTGGCTCACAAAATGAATCCAGGCTGTTCTCCTAGAATTCAGGTTGTTTCAAAATTAATAGCAGTCGTTCACCCACTAACTTGATCCTTTTTTTTTTTTTTGAGACAGAATCTCACTTTGTTGCTCAGCTAGAGTGAGTGCGTGGCGTCAGCCTAGCTCACAGCAACCTTCAATTCCTGCCTCAAGCGATCCTCCTGCCTCAGCCTCCCAAGTAGCTGGGACTACAGGCATGTACCACTATGCCCCACTATTTTTTCTGTATATATATTAGTTGGCCAATTGATTCTTTCTATTTATAGTAAGAGACAGGGTCTTGCTCTTGCTCAGGCTGTTTTGAACTCCTGACCTTGAGCCATCCCCCACCTGGCCTCCCAGAGTGCCAGGATGACAGGCGTGAGCACCGTGCCTGGCCTGATGCTTATTTTAATTTTAAAACATATTTGTTGTCAACCCCAGTGGGTTTTGGTCTAGGTTTTGTTACTTCTTTGCACATAGAGCCGATGATTGAGACAACAGTGTTGTCTCATTGTTGAAGGCTTCCTTTCAAGGAAGAAAGGAATTTTAATACTCTAGACCAGGCATCTTCAAACTCCGGCCTGCGGCCACATGGGCCCGCTGAGGACATTTATCCGTCCTGCCATTGTTTTGCCACGCTGCCCGTCCTGCTTAGCAGCCGACTCATCCTGGGCCACAGTGCGCACTCTCCAGTGGTCTGGGGACAGTGAACTGGCCCTGTTTCAGAAGTTTGATTTTAGAAACATAAGATGATGATGCATGAAAAAAAATACAATAAAAATGTAGTTAATTTAAAAATAAATTGGCCGGGCGCGGTGGCTCATGCCTGTAATCCTAGCTCTCTGGGAGGCGAGGCGGGTGGATTGCTCGAGGTCAGGAGTTCGAAACCAGCCTGAGCAAGAGCGAGACCCGTCTCTACTATAAATAGAAATTATTACCAACTAATAATATACAAAAATTAGCTGGGCATGGTGGCGAATGCCTGTAGTCCCAGCTACTTGGAGGCTGAGGCAGGAGGATCGCTTGAGCTCTGGAGTTGGAGGTCGTGAGCTAGGCTGACGCCACGGCACTCACTCTAGCCTGGGCAACAAAGTAGACTCTGTCTCAAAAAAAAAAAAAAACAAAAAAACAAATAAAAATAATAATAATAAAAGTTTGAGGAGCTAGCCTAAGACGTCTTATTCATCAAAAGCGATACACCCAGCTGCACCAAGGAGATCATGGCTTTTAAAGGAGGGCCAGGACTTCGAGCAGGTCACAGGTAGCCTTGGGCAGGTCATTGGTAACTAAGGAGAGCAGGTCGTGGGGCGGTGAATCTGTGTCAGAATCTGCCCAGAGTCCTTCAGCGTCTCAGCTTTTGTCTTGCAGAAATCCACCATTTCTGGGAAACGACTCACAGGTCTAGTCCAGGGGTCCTCACACTTTTTAAACAGCGGGCCAGGTCACTGTCCTTCAGCCCGAATTAATGAGTGAATGAATGAAGCAATCGATCAACAAAAGAAATAACGAATGAACACCACATGCTGTGGACTGTTGAACTTGAATCTAAATAAGCGCTATGTTGAGTTTTACGCTGTGGTCTAAGAGCTGTTGAACTGAATTTGTCACAGGGAGACCACGGGACAATGCCATTCTCTTGGGTTTGGAGGGGACCCGGCTGAGGGCTGTGACTCAAGAGCCACACTCGGGGATGATGAAGGCATCGAATCCTAGTCCTGCCACCTTGCTCCAAGTAGAGGTTTACCTGTCTTCAAAACAACCTAGTTACAAATGGGGAAAAAAAAAAAAAAAGCAAAACTGACTCATAAGTTTAAACTGTTTATCATAATAGGAGATTTCTAATAGTTTGTATTTATACTTTATTTTTTAATATTTTTTTTTTTGTAGGAGAAGCTATTGTCCAGATCTCTTCAGAGGGGTGAAGATCTTCAGTTTGACCAGGTATGTCAATATTGGGGGGAATATTTTTTTCCTGGAAATAAAAATAGTTGGTTATTATAGTTAGTTTCCTGTTCATCATAATAGTTAGTCCAAATATACCCAATCTTAAGAAATTCCCTTACTTTGTTTAGTGAGCCTGTATATCCTCATATACTAAATTCCTTCTGGAATTGGTAGTTTTTTTTTGTTTGCTTGTTGTTTTTTTTAACAAGTAATAGAATGAGCTGTGAACTTTACTGATTTCAGTTCATTTCGCATTTGAAAACCTTTGACTTTCCATTGTTTATCTCTTTAGCGTGCCCTTTTAAAATTTTTCTTGGAAAGCTTCAGTCTTTGTGTGCCAGCTGCTACAATTTTTATGGAATAGTATTTTACCTTTTAATATTTTTTTTCCATTGGGGCTTTGAGAACCTGTATGTATTAAAATAGAATACCGACATCTAAAACCTTGTGTGATATTTTCCTAACGGTAAATCTTCCTCTTGCTGAGATTACATGTTGGATCAAGTGTTATTTTATCATAATTATTTTATTATTATATGTTGATTATTTGAAAAGAGCAATTACTCATATTAGCTTTTTGTTGCCATCTAGTATTCCTGGCCCACATTACTCAAAATTATGTGTCTAAGAAACAGAAGTTAATGTTTATATTAGGCTAATTGATTTGATGGAGAAGACTGGTTAAAACTGCTTGGTTA